GTGCGGGACTGTCTGCTCCATGGCAATTCCCTTGTCTTTACAATACATCCGAAGGGTCGAGTTCAAGTACTCTCCTCCTCCATCTGTCCTCAAAACCTTGACATGGGACCTGTACTGATTTGCAAAGTATGTGTCCATCTTGATGAACCACCCTGTGAAATCTGACTTAAGTGAGCACAGACAGAACCAGGTGAAACCTGTCTTGTCGTCCACGAGTGTGCAGAAATATTGCCTCTTTCCAAGTGACATCACCTCCATCGGCTTGCAGATATCGGAGTGTATTCGCCCTAGTCTCTCACCAGCAACCTCATGTCCCCTTCCAAACAATCCCCTCGTCATCTTTCCCCTGATACACACTTCACAATCGAAACTCCTCGAATCATCCCGAACGTCTTCCATTCCCAGAACTGACCTGCTCTTTATCATTTCCTTTAATGCATCCTTCCCAGGGTGGGCCAGGCGTTTGTGGAGAAGGTCAAAGGAGGGGGTGGAGGCTTCTGCAGCCAGGTTCGCCCTTTTGGATGTGGTGGGTGTCAGCTGCGAGGTTGGGTGATTCAGGTAGAACATCGGTGCAAGTTCTTTTAGTGTTTCGGCGATCAGCTTCCCATCTTTTTCAATCCTGCAGACATTGTCAAGGCCAAAGGTAATCCGGGCGCCCCGACGGATGAGGACTCTACAGGAAAGGAGACTGTACTTGAGACTAGGTACATACTGTACGTCTGGAATTCGACAGGTGAAGCACCTCCCTCCGGCAGTGCAGGCGATCAAGACAGTCCCCTCCCTGAGCGAGGGAACACGGCTATCGTTTCCCAAGGCAATCTGGTGTGGAGGATCAAAAGGTGTGTATTCCACGAAGTCGTCTTTGTTTGGGCAAAAATGGTTACTGCATCCTGAGTCCACGATCCAGGGTTTCGGCGCATCTGTGTTCCTGTCAGTGACCAGTGCAGTGTCCATGATATGTTCAGCACATAGAGCCTTTTCTTCAGAGTCCTCAGTAGCGTTTGCACTTTCTTTTTCGGCGGCTCTCTTTTTCTGGTAGGTTTCCTTTTCAGCTTCTGTTGCCATGCATTTTGTGCGAAGATGGCTGGTCTTTCCACAACTCCAACATGTTTTGCACGTTAGCCAAGATGGATCACCCTTCCTTCCCTTTGTATTGCTCTCTGCAGCAAGGGCCTTTGGCATGAGTGCAAGTTCAGTTTTCATTCCAAGGTTCTCCCCCTTTGCCCGGGCCCGGAGTTCCTCGGTCTCTACCTCCCCCTTCAGTTTGTCGAGGTCCCAGCTCATGTCGTTAGTTGCTGCTGGGGCGTTCTGGATGAGCAAGGTCTGCAGGGTACTCATGCAAGATGGGAGGGTATGGATGAGTTGCATGGCAATCATTCAATCTTCGATCCGTCCTCGATTGCCAGGGACAAGTTTGTTTACCTCATGAGCGAGGTTCATAAGGCCAGATAAGAAGTCCGAGATCAATTCGTAGTTGCTGACTTTTGCCTCACAGTACCTAGTTCTTGCATAGTATTCAGCAGAGGCACCAGTCTGCTGGTAGGCACCTTTCAAGGCTCTGAATAGTGTTGCAGCAGGACTTTCGGAGTGGCGAAAAATGTTGACTTGGACTGAATCGCTGAGAGATAGCCATAATCTTCAGCGAGTATTCCTTTCTCCTTCAACCCATTCCGCGTTTCAGGTATTGTCTTATCAGATGGTTCAATCAGGCTTCCATCTAGGTAGCCCCAGGTGTGTCCCATAGCAAATCGGAGGTTGATAGACCATCTATTCCAATCGTTGCGTCCCTTCAGCTTAGCGATAGCAAGGACAGCCTTATCGATGGTTGAGTCTTTCAGAGTCATGGTACGTTCTTCAGGTCTGATCCAGAACGAGTAGGTAACGGCGATTCAGAACGAGACAGCTCCTTTCTGAGCAATAGTTCAACAGTGCCGGGCAACTTTTAAAGTGGTGGAGTAAAACTGGGCTGATAACCTGTGATAACTGCGCAGCGTGATACCTCAATTAGTTAGGTATGAGTAGTGATGGACGGACTTGCCTGCGCAGCGCGATACCTCAATTAGTGAGGTATCAGCTGCTGGTGCAAGTCCGGTCCTTATATACATCTTGTAATGACTCTACACCACTGAGGTGAAACATAAATGGTAAACAACAAGTTGAAAACAAAAGCGCAAAGACAAAGAGTCTAAGAGGTTGCCGCCGTTTGTGCCTCAAAGTGCCCCTCCCCTTCCCAAAGCGTGAATGTCCGGCCCGGGTGACTCCCTTGACCACCAGTGGCATTGGGCTGCAACTTCTAACAGGAACTTCCGTTAACTGCTTACACATACCATAAAATATACCATCATGTCACTTACGGCCTCATGTGCTGAGCTACCCTGTGTCAGGGCACACACCCTGACTAGCCCAGACCCGCTACACTTCCTGCACATTGCAAGCGGGAAAACAAAGTGAGGACCACAGTCAAGGGTTACGTCATTCTCCAGCTGCTCCCTCACCAAAGGGAAAGAAGAAAGGGCACCTAGGGCTTCAGACTCACTGCGGCCCCAGTCCTGACTAAGTCAGCCTAAAAATCTCAACACTAGGTGGACCTCCCTGGAAGACAAGCTAGCAGTACTGCCTGCGAAGCACTGTCCCCAAGACTACAAGCACTCAGACACCACCCCAGGCACACGGACCTAGTACTTAGTGGAGCAGAGGGGAGAATCCCTGTATCATACTGGATACATCTTGTATATAAACCCAAGTTATACTGAGCTAATGTCTGAGCAATCCGACGGTGTAAGGGACGGATAGAAACGGACAGAACAACATAGAACAAAGCAAACAACAGAAAACATAAAAATATATAGGAACAGCCACACAATCGACAAACTCCGACGATCTCCACAACGGCTGAACCAAATCTCCTGATCTTGGACTCGTTCTACTCGCCTTGATGGTAGCTTTCCAGCGATACCAAGTGCATCCGGATCGGAGAAGAACTGGGGGAGTTATGGTGAAAATACTGTGAAAGCGGCCCAGTAACATGTCCAGGTGGGCTGTAACCTGGTCTGAAAAATTATCAAAAAATACAACGAAGATAGGGGAGGTTCATCGAGCTTTGGGGGACTGGGGTACTGTGTGTCAGGCGCTAGGTAATGTCTGTAGGCCATGACATAGTGGTGTTGGGGTACTACCAGCTTTTCCCTGCTTCAGCATACTTCCTGTGCCGCATGCTCCGGCCCTGGATCCTGCCTTCATGTGACTTCTGGGTATCCCCGGAAGTTTTCCTGATATGGTGGCCACTGTGGGAAGATGAGAAGTTAGCTTCCTTCTCATCTCCTTACCTACTGTCAGGGCCTGGCCTCAGACTCGGAGGCTCCCTGACCTCAACCCCCCATCTAACCTGTCCTCACACTATGCAGGGCATGAGATGTATAGTAAAAGAGAGAGAATATATACACTTGCCTATGTGGGGCATGAGATGAGGAGGAGGGTAGAGGTCTCATCTCCCCGCATGGTTGCTATATAAAGGAATGGGTCACATGCTGTCAGGGAAATAGCCCCAAACCCCGAGCCACATGTAATTAGATACATATAGTCACGTGGGTAAGTGGGAACCTCCAGGTAACTGCTTACACACTACCGTAAAATACACACTCTTGTATCACTTACAGCTCTGTGTGCTGAGCTACCCTGAGACCTCACACATGCCCACAACTATACAACTCCTAGAGTTGTGTAGTGTGACCTGGAGGGGACACCCAGGTGGCAGTGCCCAGTAAGCATGGGAATGTTCTGGGCGAGTTGCTTGCCCAGAATTGTGGCTGTGACCTGTGGGAACATTCTGGGCAAGCTGCTTGCTCAGAATGTTCCCATGCTATCCCATGCATGCATGTACACAACACACAAAGGCAACAACAAGGCAACAATCAAAGAATAAAGGGAGTAAAGTAGGTGGGGAGTCTGGGGCACCCTAAGGCAGGGTGCTGAACCCTGACACCTACTGTTTATATATTCATCTCCTTACCCACATAGGTTGTGCCCTGGATAGGGCTGGTTTGTCATATCCTGGAATCCCAACCCCGCGCTCTCCCACCTCATCACACCTTCCTAACAACTTCATCATCCCCTACACCATAACTCCCCACTCCCTAAGTCATCTTCCTTCCCAACTGTCTCAGCTCCAGCCTGGTTTGCAGCACACTTTACCTTGGCCACTCCCATCCTGGAAGCTCAGTCCTGAGATGGAGCATTCAGAGACTCCGGATTTGCTCCGACCTCCCAATGGATCTCTGACATCCTGTGACATACCTCTAAACCATTCCCCCTCCCATTTCATTTATTGGAGTCACCCAACATCCTTCTGATACGTAACTCCACCTTCAGAGCTACCCACATCCTCCAGTGATCCCACTCACGTCATCACAAATTAGTCACCTTCCATTGATAGTATGACTGTCTTCTTCTTTCCATTCAGTCAGCTAACACCCTCTTACCCATTTCTTGTTCCCATTCATTCTCCAGCCTTTTACTCCACCCTTCTTGACCCGACACCTCAGTTCCCTGTTAAGGATATCGTTTGGCACCTTTCGTTATCACTCAACACCTTTCAATGTTTGTCAATATCACTCAGACTTTGACTAAAGTCCTTCCCTTCCTCCTTCTATATATGGGGTCGGCAATCCATGTTGAAGCATGCCACCCCCACATGACCCACTTTTCCCTGTGAAACCTGGCGAGTCCTTTGATCATCTAACAAAGTGCTTAAACTCTCTCCAATCTCTTAATTATTGTTATTAATGCCAATATATGGTCTCTAGTAATCTAAATGGCCAGTTATTTTGAAAATTTCTCTGTGGGATTGTGCTGATCGGCTGTCATCACCTCGCTATCTCCCACATCCTCCATTTCTCGCCCTCTCCTGTGCTCAATTCGCCACTGCCACAACAAAAAACTGTCGAAATCTCGCTCGTATCTCAAAGTGCCATACTGACGCCATAACCGTCTTATGCCCCAAAATGAAGGGCCACAAGACCCCCCCCACAGGTCCTCTTGTGAACCCGGGGGGGCTCAAGAATGTGACCAACAAAGCATGGGCTAATTTTATGCACAACACCCAAAATTCAGAAGCAACTAGTATTAATGGCTCAAAAAAGAGGCCGTCGGACTCTTCACCCCCACCGAATTGCGCAGCACCCTCAGTGCCGAAGACACCACCCCAAAAACCCAACTGTATATTGCAAAGCGTGACTGTCGAAAATTTTGTAACATTGATCAACTCTGCTTGGGAAGCTGCCACTAGATTAAAAACGGAACTCTCACCACCAACGCTAGATGAATCAGTCAAAAAGAAAATTGAGGATATCTATGTCATGTTTGGTGCACCCCTCCCAAAGTTCCCAGACATAACTCCCCTGTCCATTGACCTTGAACACGCTACTGCCACATGTAAGAGCTTGGCTCAAATGAATGCTACCCTTACAGCGGAGCTAGCGAAGGTGAATGAGAAAATAATGCAGACACAGGAACCTGCAGCTAACATGCTGAAAACAGTGAACACCACGCATTCTGCACCAGCGCCCTCAGTACAATCCCCCACATCCCAGAACAACAACCACCCCACCATCATACACTCAGCAAACCCCATCCCAATCAAACCAACCAAGAAACCAAATAATAAACCACCCTAGCCACCTGATCATTGCCACTGACCCGCCGCTTCCTATTCACAAGCGTAACATACAGCCCGACACAATCCGACATATTAATATGCTACTGAAGGAGAAGCAACCCATGGCGAACAAGCAAATCTTGGCTGCATACTCCTCTGCATGAGGCAACATCGTTGTTGTTGGAGCAGTTGGAACACACGCAGTAGACTTAACACCCCTCAAAGAGGAAATAGTCAGCATTATCGATGATGGCCAGCCCTACTGAACAACTGCCTGGCAAGACAAAGCCCTATATCGGAAAAAGCTTGATGGTGTCCCCACCAGGGAGATGCCAGGAAGCGACCCATACAACCCCGAACAAATTCTTACTCAACTTCGAGATGGGTATGGCCTGCTCTGGGACCAATTCAACCCCACAGCACCACCATCTTGGTTGGCCAGCGATGTGAAACTATGAACAAGTCAAAGAGCGTCACTTGTATTTATGTTTGACAGCTTCAAAAAGGCACAGCAATTCCAGAGCGCCAAATCTTTCTATATCAGGTACATTGGCTACAGTCTCTGACTACAAAGACTGGCCCCGCCCAGTTCACTGTGAAAAATGTGCGTCTCTCCACCACATGTCACATCAGTGCAAGTCCGCCCACCTCTGCCATGTATGCAGTGATGAGGACCATATGACAAATGACCACCCTGAAGACCGACCACCGAAATGCATCAACTGTGAGGACCACCCATCAACCAGTCACATCTGCCCGGTTATATTGCAAGAAGGCACAGATCATGCCTAAACTATTGGTAACAAACATGGGAAAGACCTCTGGACCCCCTGCTGTTGAAGTCTCAATGAGAGACAGCCCATGATCGGACCTCTGCCCCTTCTTTCTTTTCCTTCCTTACATGACACCCACCCCCTGACGCCACAAACCAGAGGATTATGCTTTAACCTGACGTCACCCACCTGCCCTTCCTATTTTCCCATCCCAATGACCTCACATGTAAACTCGATGTAGATTACAGTAGGGGTAGCTGCACTGTTGCGTCGTCACGCGACCGTGGGGTAACAAATCAGAGTACAACAACATCCTGTGCTCAATTGCTAGCATCAGCTCTCTAACCTTGTCATCCTGATTTGGAATGCGACTGCTGAGAGGAACCAATGCATCTTGGAGCCTATATGCATTTAGCTGAGGCTTAGGCTGCCAGCTGCGCGATAGTTGTCTTTGGGTTTCTTGCCCATTCTATGTCATTGGTGAGTTCAACTGCCTTTAATGCCTTGATTTTAGCAGTGTATTTGAGTTCCTTAAACTTCCTTTATCTGCCTTTCCCTCCTATTTTCTGCAACCTTTGCTATTCCAGCATCTGCAAGCAATGTTCTACGAGCTTTCTCGGATCCTGACATGCTGATAGGGGCTGTCCGCAAGATCTTGTGTTTTCTTGGTGTAAGCTTTGCTGTGATGAATTCGTTGACAATTGATGCAGCTGTTTGATTACGAGAACAGCCATTCCTTTTGACCCGGTTCTGCTGTGAAGCCATGATACAACGGGATCCCTCATCAGTACCCAACCCTGGTGTGTGAATGCACTTAAAAGAGCGAAAAAGGCCCACTTTGCGTGTGAATTTGGGCTTCGGCAACTGCTGCATGCACTCAATAACCACAAATCCCGCTGCCCAAATTTCTCCTTTATCTCATAGTGTCTTGACTTTACAGATGAATTGAATATATATTGTATTGGATGTATCTAGGTATCCATAGGTTTCGTTTTCAAAATTAATGGCATCTTTCATGTTTTTCACTGTGATTTCTTGCAATATCTCAACAAAGAAGCATATTCAAAACGAAAAAAACCTAAGGTGCACTGGTATGGGTCACCAAGAACACTAATTTGCAATCACTTGAGTTCTATATTTGTTGTGTAGAGAGTCAAATGTCCCACCGTTCCCAGCTTTATTCACAATAGACAGCACAGCCACAGGTGGGTCAACCTGAATTGCCAACCCCCACTATATATACCCATAGATGAGAACTCTTTGTACCTCAGTTCTAATCTTGACTTAAAGTTACCCCAAGTCCCTCTATGAGTGAATCCTGACCTCTTGCTACAAGATACCTCAGACACCTGAAATATAAGGACTAACTGAGATGTAACGGAGGCACAGCACTCCTCCGAGTCACTGAGGCCGCATCCTTCTTAGAGCCTCTTGTACCACCCAGCAGACCTGGGCTTCCTGGAGAAGCTTCGGTTCACTACCAGAGCTCTCAGATCCCCTCTAGTTGAGCCCTGCCTGCATTTGGACTCATGCACTTTTCCCTATGTTTGGGGTTTTTGACATGGTTACACCATAGGGCTGTGGACCATAGGGAGGGTCATGGGGACCTGGGAGTCATCCCCTGACACCCTGTCATATCCATACAATCCCAACCTCTGCTCCGGGCTCCTGGAACTCCAAAACTGACTCTGGAGCCCTACTTCCCTTCCATCACCTTCTCCTTGCCAACTCCCAAGAGGTTATCCCACCTCCGGCTCCAACACCACCTTTGGTCCAACTCCAGAACATTCCAGGCCCAACCTCAACCTCGACACCTTCCAGATGAGCATGCAACACCTATGCTCCCGACTCTGGACCTCCACTCCAGAATCCTGTTTGCATCTCCATCTCCAGAACCTCCAGTCTTAGCTCCAACCTCAGACTTTGACCCCACCTCTGCTTATACCCATTGTATTGGTTAGCTCATTCCATTTAATTACCTTTGCCAATATTCCGGAGTTTAACTTCCGAGTTCGGACTTTCCAGACTTACTTCAGACCTTGTAACTATTGCATTGCTCCATTCAATTCTGCTATTCTCCCTCATTCCTATTTGGGCTGCTGCTTCCTTTCTATTCGGTTAGCTGGCCATTCCCCACTCCCTTCCTCCTTCCTTCCTCCTTGGGCCTTGGCCCTTCACTCCTCCTTTGGGAAACACCATTGAGTCAAACCCTTGACCCTCAGTGTTGTTCCTCCTTCCAGCTCCCTTTGTCTCCTTTCAGAGTACCCTTGCTCCTTTTGATTCTGGACCCCTCCTTATATACAAATAGACGACTTTCATAAGTCATCACTCTCTGGATGCAAATCTCACTAAAACTTGCATCCTGTTCAATGCTTGCCTCAATGCTTTTGGGGCTAATGTGAGACTTAAAGGTAGTAGAACTAACATTATTTTGTAACTTCTCAGTGCACAAATTTTAATATCTGTCCTTACTATTGCACTGAATGTAAAATACTTTATAGTGATACATTGGATGTTTCTTTCAACTCTAAACCCGATTTCCAGATTAAAAAAAAAGAACCAGTTTTAAGATTCACCAGCATGGACCCATGCAAACTGAATTGCAGTAATTGCTGAATACAAAAAAGGAAACCAAGTTTATCACTCCCTTTCCCCTCCCAAGCACATTCATGCCAATACACAGGAAGCACCACCATGCAAACAATCTTGGAGAGTACTCCAAGAAGGTATGGAACTCCCTTGCAAAAAAAATTGATTAACAGAAAGTTTCTTGGTTAGAGAAAATGTCTAAGTCTCACACCTGGATCCGTTCACACAGCACAGAGCAGTGGACGGCCTGTCAGGGTCAAGAGTGCCTGGATGTGTCACCTGGCACTGAGGACCCAATAGGGTGTATCATGGGCACGCGTACTAACAAACCCAGCACAGAAGGGCATCCCTGGCCACTTAGGCTAAAGTGGGAAGTGTGTTATTATTATTAGCGAGGGAATGTAAGCTACTTGCCTAAAGTGGGAAGTGTGAGAAGAAGGTTACTTCTCAGTTCCCACTTAGGCTGTGTTTATGTGCATGCGGTCGAAGGTCACATGGGGGGTGCCACATCATCTACGCGCACAGCCGTATCCACCCGGGTATCTCTGTAAGAGATCTCAGGAGCGTCCAGTGTGTAGGGCGTCACCCAGTGTGCCCGGGTCTGGGCATGTTGCACAGCCTGGTTAATGGTACATCAAGGAAAGAAGGAGAAGGAAAGGAAAGAAGAAAGAAGAAGAGAAAGGAAGAAGGAGAGAGGATGGAGGAGAGAAGGGAGGATGGAGGATGGGGGCACCAGGTGAGGGTAGTGGGATCGGGTGGGGTTGGACTGGGTGGAGTAGGGTCAGGTGGGTGTGCCCTGACATGGCCCCACAGCATGCAATGGCACTGATATGTGTCAGAGACTGGATCAAGATGAAGGATTGTCTCCATGACAGAGGGCTTCAGCCTCAGCAACTCAAGCCAGGAGCGCTGTGCCAAGTTACACATCCATGCCCTAATTTACTTATTGGCAATGAGAACTAAGGGGGATCAACTCTAGTTGATTTTATTACTGAGGTGTAACCTATGTACAAGTTAAGTATATATATAGTTACAGCGAGGGCAGGCCCGTGAATGGCAGGGCTGAGTGGAGTGGAGCTAACGGAGTTAAACATTAGCCAATTGAATATTACCGACAAGTTGGGTTATGGGGTTAGCAGAATTGCAGGTGATAACCCAGAAACAGAAAGGAGGGATAGACCTGAAGGTGGGCTTGCAGGGCAAGCGAGTGAATTGCCCAGCGGAGGTGGGAGTGCACTAGTGGATATCGGAGCTGTCTGGAAGCCTTCAGGGCTCCATACTTAGGGAGGTGTAGGTAATATATTGAAAAGAGGGGATGGTGACCATCAAGGGAAGTGGAGGTGATTGTGGAATATGGGAGCTCCGAGGTTAGTGAAGAAGGAGCGGAGGTAGTCCGGAGAGATTGGAGGTAGTGGAAGTCGATGGCCATGGATGGATATGACAGTATCCCCTTCTTAGGCCTGAACCCTTGAAGGCCCAGAATTAGTAAGGTGAGGGGAGCTGTACTGACAGAAAGAAAAAAATGAAAATGGAAGTGGAGTGGAGAGAAAGGGAGAGATGGGAGAGGAGTCAAGGTTCCTAAGGAGCTTCGGGACCAGGCTTGTCTGGGTACTGGGAGTGGAATGCTTCGATGAGGTCAGAGGTGTGATCGAGTTCACCAGCAAGGAGCCATTGTGTCTCCTTGTCAGTTCCTTCATAGCCTAGCCACTTGACCAGGTAGAACAACTTGTTGCGTCTACGTTGGTTGATCTTGGAGTTGAGTATCTCTTTGATCTCAATCTCAATCTCGCCTTCAATTTCTA